GCCATTTGAAGGACACTGTTCCTCTTGTATCCAAACCCCTGTACACAGAAAGTTTCTTTAGTCTGCGTAACAACCCTGTAAGATAGGAATTGKGAAATCAGTACTTTGTGTATAAAGACCAGGGGCAGACAATTGTTCCTCAACAATGCTCAGCTCCACAAGAACTTTATCCTTTTCAATAAATTCTTTTTATGTTTGACTTCTCTTCAGCTCCAACTGTGGCATTATGCTTACTAGTACCAGCCTTGGTACCAAAACACACCTGAAAGTTGTGTACTGAAAGTACACAGAGCACYTGTGCAGATTCAATCTGACTCTATCCTGACCAGCTAAAAGCATTAAAACTGCTACTGGTGAAAAGATGTAAAAAGATATAAAAATATATAGGTGGATCTTCTATGGCTCCCTACATAGGCAGTTGCGATGGTGAACTGGAAAGCAGGCCATCCTGGTTCTGAATTTCTATTTCGTTTTTTCAYATTGATCCCTAGGCACAAGTTCACTGTGTAGGTACTGGATAAATTTGTGAAYAAACATGTAGAAAAGATCACTAACCTTCAATGGGGAGACAATTGCATTTACAAATATTTAATCTGTCTAGAAAGAAGTGCAGGGTTTATTTTTTTCAAGAAAGATTTTTTTAAGAATTAGATGGTATCTCTTCCTCTTTTCTTGCTGAATGGTAAACCCAATCTTCCAAAAGCACAGGTTAGCATAAGTTCCAGGTTTACAAATTCAAGTTTGATTGTTTTTGGCAATTCAATCTGCATGATGATTTTGATCAAGTGCCTGGGCTTCTAACATTTGTCACACATGATAAAATCAACCCCAAAAAAGCTCATATTTAAATAATCATATAGTAAGTTAAATGCAGCCTCTGACAGAATATGAATTATCTGACAGGCTGCAGAGCAACACAGGTTTAGTCTGGAAAACAGATACAAACAYTGAGTGCCATTTGAACATTGAAGATAAGAGTGCAATCCTTTGCCTGCTTCCATTTCAATGAACGAAGAAGGGGAAAATGAGATAAATTACTCAGGTCTTGAYATAAAGCATCTGGCTGAAAAGTCATTTGCTAATTGTTTAAGATTGGCCCCATTGATGCAAGATGATTTCAAACACTGATACACTGTCGGGTGCAAGCTGCCATTGGTAACTCTTGCCCTAGGCTTTCCTAATGCTGGGGTTCAGTTGTCTTTACTGCGTCTTTGTATGAAGGAGATAGAGAATATTTAGTCATTGAACCTTCCCTCACCTTTTCCCCCGTGAGGAAAATGCCTAATGAAAATTCGAGCTATGCTGCCAAAGTGATATTGGCAAAAGAGTCACTTTTTCTTTGCCTGATTGGATAAATATGCAGCTGGTTTTGGAATCAATGCTTCTGTGAGCAAAATTAAAAAGTGTTACTTTAAAATGCTGCTGTATGCATGCAATGGACTTCAGTTATCTGAGATGTCATAGCCAAGAAATGCAAAAGATGTGATTTTCTGTGAGCACACAGAAAATCAAGTGAATGCTTCTGCTTAATATTTTAGCTTTTAGTGTTTAAATGTTTCCATCTTTCGATACAGGTTACTTTTATCAAAAAGCACTGTGTTCAGTTTAAAACTCGCCCAAAACAACTGTAGCTGCAGATTAAATTTCTTGCAAGGCTTGAAGCTTTTAGTTCCACTTTTAATGTTCATTTTGAAAGAAAATAGTTCCGTTTCTATAAAACAGAAAAATCACATATATACTACACTATGTAATTTCTCATATTCTAGGAGTTCTAAAAGGGTTTCAGGACCAAGCTGTTCTGTTCTCCATTCACTCCCCTGCTTTGATCCACAGTGGGTCTGTGGCAGGGAGGCCCCRCTGAGCCCCAGCACGTTCCCCACACGCCCAACGCCTGCAGCCTCGGGGGCTCTGCCGAGGGCTCTGAAATAGCGCCAGGCACGGCCACATCTATTGTGCCTCTTCTTCTGAGGGCAGCAAACCTTCCTGTACCAGCCAGACCCCGCTGACCGCTGCGTCTCTGCTGCASAAACCCTGAATGCAAGGAGATAACAGCCGCTATCACCGTGCTTTTTATCTGGGAGGCAAAGTCTAAAATTGCATCTGACCTCTGCGTGCGCAGAGACACCGAGCGAGGAGCGCTCTGCCTGCATCCTCAGAGGGTTTAGATTAAATCACTAAGAGTGAGGTACCTTAAATGAATAGTTCTGAGGATAATAGCTTCTGTGACTTCTACTTTGTGTGGTACGAAGTAGACTGCAAACTGTAATTTATCAAATGATATATTGCGGGCCTTAGGAAACACAGCTCGACTTTCGTGTTGTTTTTTCCCTAATAGGTTTACTAATATATAAAATTACGACACTCCATTTACTTATCAGACATGTAATTAAACTAGCTGTGGTATAGATTTAAGTTGTTTATTTATAGGTCAAGCTTCTGCTTGCCCTAGGTCAATGGTTTTTAGCAACAAAGCTCCATAAGAATAGATTTTCTTAATAATACCAATAGTCTATGYATAACTAAAAGTAAACAAGCTCATATTGGTCTGTCGAGTGTGTGTGTGTATCCATCTTTGCATATCTATGTTTCTGTACAGCAAGGCTTAGGGAAAAGCAGATCAAAACCACATTCTACGTGTCCAGACAAATAATCTTTCTGAGCTTTGCCAAAGCAATAGAATGAGTTCTTATTTTTCTTGTATATTGGGGTCTGCTTGCTTGCCGGGTCATTTCTTTAGAATTCAATGGGAAAATAACGAAGCTAAAACTGACACACTACAACATTAAATTAATTGGAATTCTGTTCCTCCATGATAAGACTTGAAATGAGATTTAAATCAGTCYGTGCTTGGTAAAACATGACAATTTGATGTCTGTTCCATAAAACTGACAACCACATCTAGTTGTTTTTCTTCTGAATTTGATCAGATAATTTGGTCAAACTTGGAGAATATTTAACAGTTACACAATGAGACTGAGATTTGTTCAGAAAATTACAATATCGTGAGGGAAACTCAATTAGTTTTGTCAGCAAATATAAAGGCACTAGCTTGCATTTCCCGAAAACTGTCCAAAGCTTTTACAAATACTCTTGATTCAGCTAAAATCAAGCTAATTATATGCTGGGCTTGAAAAATGCTCATTAAAAGAACATTATTTGTGTTATAATGTCCAAAACCTGAAAAGATAGGAAACACTGAAATTAATAAGCAATTGCTTTGACAAACTGGTACATATATATTTCACATGACTGTAAAATATGCTCCACAGACCCCCAGACTTGTTCAGTATCTTGGCTACTTGTTATCTGTCGTGGTTTTTTGGACCCAATTCTACAGACATGGTGTTAGCTTTCCTTCATTCAAATTCTACTAAAGAGAACCATACTGATTTCTGYTTTCATTTTTTTCCCTTGTAGTTCCTGTCACTGCAATATTTCCAACGCTTCACAAATTCCAGTGGTTACTTTGCCAGTACCTAGGATAAGGTACAGGGTGGTGACGGGTGCGAGGCAGAGGGAGACCCTGTGATTTCTGACTGCTTTGTTTGGGCGATAACAGGGATCTGATTTGGTGAAGCATTAGTAAAAGAGAACTTTGAGACTTGAAACACTATTTCACCTGCTTTCTGYTGCAGAGTAAGTGCCCAATAATTTTGTGAATCCAAACTCAAGCAGAAGCAGCTGGAAAATGAGAATGCAGTTAACAACCACATGTGGAAAGTATGGTTTAAATGATCTGCCAAACACCAGCAGGAGCTTTCTGGAAGAAGATGAGGAAATCCAATTTTCTCAGGTACCACTGAACTGTGTTGCCCACACAAGCTTTTTTTCTCTTCATATACTATATTTAATGCTAATTGGTTAATTATCCCTGAAATCCTTTATTGGTTTTCTTTCCAGATATGATTTGTTGAGTTGTCACAAGTCCAGCTTTTCTGATTCAGAGGCACTCATCACTTTGAGAGGCAGTGGTAATCTCTAGCTTTATTATTTGGTTTTTGGGTTTTTTTAGAAAAATTATTATATAAGATTTGCATTTGTTTTTGAATATTTAGAGCATTTGTATGGCTATTCGCCAACTTTATAATATTTGGCTAATTGGCATCAGTAACTTACATTTTCCACTGTTTCTCAGTCTTAAGAATCAAAAGCAAGCTCTCGTAGAAATCTGTCTTTAATGCATGCGTGTTTAAGAATGCAGCGAGGCAGTGAGAGAAGGTGCAAGAAAAATGTGAGAGAACTCTCCAGAGTTTCTGGAAGTAGATGATCAAAACTGTTATAAGGAACAAATCTTTAGACTTTACTACAAACAAAATTTGCAATACAAGTCTAATCCTGTTTATACTGACGTGATATTTTTACTCAATTGTGTACAAGACCTGTTAACCAGAAGAGAAGCTAAATATATAACTACACATTGAAACAGCGTGTTCTAGCACCATTTAAGGAAAATTCCAGCTCTTATTTTTGAGGATGTTAGGTATACTTCCATTTTTTTTCAACCATTAGCTTTCATCTAGTTTTCGCTAATTATTACCGGTACCAAACCAAAGTGTTTTGCAGTTATTGTCCAGGGATATTTTTAAGGTATGAAAGCATAATTAACTTAGTCAAGAAGCTGAAGTTTAGGACAGAAAAAAGTGAACATGCAGAGAAATCACCTTCTTTCTTTCTTTCAGTAAGAATTCTGGAGTTAATATGCTGATGTTTTAGTGTAAAAAACTTATTTCAGAGTTGTTAAGACACTTGTATTTACCTATGTCAGTGGGAGCTCCTCCAGGTGTTTGTGGGAGAGAGAGACAGACACTGAAAGTGTATTGGATTAATTGGATGGCACAGTCATGCCCTGAGCTGGGATCTCCCCAAAGTTCAGGCATTATGGCATYGGTAGAGCCCAGAGAGTTTTGCTCRTTCTCTGCTCCCAAGAAGCGGCACATGGACAGCACACGGACGGGAGGCAGCCAAGCTGCAGGAGAGGGGCGACTCTCAGAGTTACTTACGTTGACAGCCCAAGCTGTGCCAGATATATCCCGGCAGACATTTATCACATTTAGGCCCTGATGTTCCCTCCTTACACTCACAAAATCCTCTGTCATTACAGCGATCATGGACTGAACCAAAAGGGTTACAATAACAGTCTGCAGAAACAAGACAACACATACACACTRGATTCAGGTCTACATGTGGAGATAATTCATTCAATACCAAAAAAGGGTGCATTTCCAGTGCTAAAGGTAAAGGAAGACTGTCTGTTAAGGATATCTTGAGTAGTGAATATAACTACTACGTGTCCATTTATTTGTTTGCACGTGTCATTTCAGGAAGAGACGTTTTATGATGCAAAGAGAAAAAGTCAACAGAAAAGATATAAAGACAGAGGATACCACGGTCTTTGTGGGTAAGTGATTGTAACAGATTCTTTTTGGCAAGAATATTTTTGACAATTTAACGAACATTAGAAAAGCTTTGGATAGTATGGATAATCAATGTGCCATCAGGGTGAAATGTTTTGCTTTATTACAATAGACTTATCTGTATTACTCAATATTTTCAGAAGTGCTGAGTGTCTTTACAGAGCTATATAAATGCACTTTACTTATTTCCAAGAAAGTCTTCCTTTATAGGTTTGAGCAGTATAAGTTATGTGGATATTTGCCATTAAATTGATGAGATTGTATTTATCAGTGACATTAATAAACCTTTTGCATATTCTGCAATGAAAAGTTTGAGGTGAGCACTAATGTAATGCAAAACCTTTAAGAACAGGCTTTATGCAGCCATTTTAATTTCTCTCACCTCCCAGTGTGCAGATGGAAAATGCAGTGAGGCTCATTCCCCGCTGTGTATTTTTCACATGTGTTCAGCTAATTAAAGAATAAGTAGGGTAACACATTTCCTCCCACAACACTTACAGTGCTGTTCATTCACAGCCCTTTTCTTTAATGTGATTACAATATCCGTGTTCAGCTTTCAGCCAGCTGAACAAAGGCAAGGAGCTAGCAGAGCTTATTTTTGGCACTCCTATTCTTCAGATTGATTATTTTGATTTTAGGTTTGTTTTTTTTTCCAAATGAAGGACTATCTCTTATTTATATGTAGACCCATGTAGACCCAGAGTAACTTTCCTGTCAACTGAGACCACAGATACCTTTTGGAAGCATCTGATCTCTGCTATTTCCTGATTTGGGGCAATCTGCTGGAAGTCTGGATTTCTATATCTATGACTATATTTAACAACTGTCCCCTAGCATTAGGTTAAACCTCAGTGGTATTATAAATAAATAAATTAATTGAACTGGGAAATAACATATGTATATATCGCCAGTGAAAAAACTGTAACAGGAAAAAAAATTACCAGAAAGACATTTGTCATCTGTTGTCTCACTGTTTATTAACTATAAATTACAGATGGCACTTTGAACATTTGGGATGCTGAAGAAAAATAGTTACCTTTGGCAAAAGCGTTCAACAATTATAATAGAGTCAATTAGCAACATTCTATAATGAAGCTGAAAACTGACAAAAATGCTGTGCAAGGCTGAGTATTACAGCAAAGAGAGTGCCACTTGAAAAGCTGGGAATTCTGATGTTAATCAGATGTATCAAGTGTTTATGTAAACAGACATAGAATTGAGATACATTTTGAATGGAGGAAGTAATATTTGCTTGAGCAGTGTTTCTGGAAAACCTTGAAAGACAAARACTTGGAATTACATTAAAAACAGAGGGACCAATTTTTGTTAAAAACAGCTTTGTTAGACATAATGAAGTTACAGTGATTTAAACAAGTATTTGTGAAAGAAATTTATAGCCTGTGAAACTGAATATTCCAGAAAACAAGATCCTGAACCAGTGAAACCTTCCCTACTGAACTCTATCATATAAGCATGTGGGAAGTTCCAGGCCTATATTGTGCTGTTTAAGGGAAAGTAGATAGTAGAAATGAAGCATTTTTTACCAAAGATTTGGCAAAATCAGTAGATCCAGAACGCCCAGCAGACTCAGTAACCTTTAGTAAGTGATTCTAGCCTCTGTTTTTCCCAATTGATAGCACAGTAATGTAACCTACAGAGGCCCACAAAACATTCGGGGTCATTGTCCAACACAATATCCCAGGCTGTGGAACACTTCTCAAGAATACTTAAGACATTAAAAATCTCAAAGGTCACAATTTCAGTGTGCCACAGGGAGGCAGTGAATATCTCCAATGCCCTTAGAACAACAGGGCAYTCAATAACACTAAACTAACACTCCCAGATCACCCTCATAGGCAAACCACACACAGGTTCCAGGGTGGTGGAAAAACCCCCTGCGGATCTGAACTGAGAAAGAATTGCCTCCTAACCTTCATCTGGTGACTATTTGCAAGAATGGGAAGATAACAGAAATAGTTATCTGTTCACTGAGGTTGACCCTACCAGCATGATGCTGCCAACAGAACACAATGAAAGTAAATAAGAAAGAAGGTGGGGAAATGGGCTGAGGCTTGCTGCTTATCAATCTGGGCTGACAGTGGCCACAGGACAACCCTCAGGGTTCACTTAACCATGTGTCACGAGGGCTTCTGGTGTTAAATGAAGTTTAAGCCTAACTGAGTGCAAGGGGGGCTTTGTTTAAAGTGTGACAGCGATCACCAGTTCAGTATTAATGTTGTGAGTAAAAGCCATGTTTTGTTACTCTGGGTCTACTTGGTGGTTTCCATGCTATGCTTGCTTGTCAGTGTGTGTATTCACTGAAAAGTATTAGGGCTTTATCATGAAATAAAAAAACTCTTCAAGCTGTTATTTTTTTTTTTTTCACACCGAATGAATAATTTGTAACTTCAGAATTTCTTGATTTATTCAGAAACTGCAGTTGCCCATATGAGGTAATTTTGCAGTTAATGTACCAATCCAAAAATTTTTGATATTTCATATTAGGAAATAAAATCTATTTTGCTTCTAGAGAAATTAAGGGCATCAGGAATTTAGATTTAAGCCCACTGTATAATACATTACATTTGGTTCACTGGTAAAAACCTTCTCAGTATTTAAATTCTTTAGTCTTAAAAATGAAACATTTAGCATTTTCTCCATTTATTTAGCATCAGCTAAGATTCACAGATTTGTTAGCCGTGTACTTACCATATATATTTCTGAAAACTGTGGAGCAGTTTTGATAAATCAGAGCCAAAGCCCTATTAGCTGCCATTAAAAACTAGCTTATCCAAACATTTGTTACCTTTCTACATACATGACCGAAGAGGAAAGGATTAGCCTGGAAAAATGACTTTCATATGGGAATAAGACTTGTACATATCACTGGAAATCTGCTTATTAAAATGCTCATGCCAACATTTCACTTGCAGTTAAACCACAGAACACTGCTTTTAAACTCAGAGAAAAGAGAAATGAGCGTTTCCAATAGAGCAAGACTGTGCTTGACCCAGAAAGGTGGTGAATCCATCARCTCTCTTAGAGGTGGAAATATGTTTTGCCCAATTTAATCTTAGGAGCCCCAGATCAAGACAGCACTTTAGGAACAAACTTTTTGTTTTCAGAAAAGTGCTTAGGTGTCTGTWCATTTCACTGACTTAACACAAGAAGTAGGAAAGATGTCTTAAGTTGGCAAATCAGCTAGGACACATACATTTTGTATGATAACTGTGATCCTGAAAACTTAGCAAGAAAATTATTTATTTAAAATAAATTACCGAATATGTAGCAAAGCAAGGTTTGGTCCTGTAGTTATTTCACAAGGTACAATTCTCATGGGAGCCCAAGAGAATTCTGCTTGCATTAAGGTGGAAAGTCAGCAAATGTTTCACATTGCCCTTTCTTTTTTTCTTTTCCAGACTCTTGCTAAAYGAAAGATTTTTAAATTTTATTTCCTTAGTGTCTCGGCAATTTCAAAGTGCACAGTTGTTTTACCATGGCATTCTAAATAATYACTCATAAACTTATTTTTAAATTACTTATTTTTGGCTTTTTGTTTACTATTGTCCTTGTCTTATGTAGCTGCAGCTGCTGTTTTAGCATTTCAGTGTACATGGGAAAACGACAGGGAATGGGCTGATGAAAAATTCCAAACAGAGTAATTAAGAGTCATATTCATTAGGCCTACTTAGGCAGCTGAAATTGTACAGCCCTGATGTCATACCAATGATGTCTGTCATCTACATCAAACAAATATACAGGACAGTAGGTTTTTTCCAAGAAAATTTGATTGTGTTAATCTCCTCAGCACAGTCAAACAAAATCATGACTTGACTACTAAAATTCTTATTAGCTCAGACTAATTACTGTCAAAGGAGATCATACATTTCCTGAATGCATTGCCAAGCAAAGTTAAAAGAAGGACACATGAAATGCAGTGCATGGATGGATCTGTGTGTTTATCACAAGATAAAAATGTAAATCTGTCAAGTTACAAACTCAAACAAATAATAGCAACCTAAATGGTTTCTGGCTTGAATCTCAGCCATGGATTATAAAAGACATTAAAATATAATTTATTCACCCATAGTCTATTTTGGGTTTACAGTATGTGCTAACTACTCTTTGCTTCTTGGAAGATGGAATGAAAAAAAATCACAATGAAAATCCAGAATAGGTCCTACTGATGCTTGTGTCTATAAGAAACATGATATAATTAAATTCTCCACCTCTGTTTGTTAYTAGCACAGTGTCTTTTGTGGCTACCTGGTAATTACTGGCCATTGTACGAGGCTTCCTTTAGTGACTATGTTCACTCCTAACCTGAAGTGTCCMAGCTTGTGCTATATACTGTCTGTGGTGACATGAGAACAATTCATATTCTTCTAGTGTGATAAAGATCTTAATTTTTTTTTCCTAATATACTTTTCTTATTATGTTCTGACCTTTTTTCTAATTCTGCAGTTTGAATATTTATATCAGATGCTTGTTCTAAAGCACTGTTTTCACCTAGGAATCCCTCTTCTAAACTGACATAATGTCACCCTGATTTGACAAAGTCTGTTCCTACCCTCATGGGCATCATTTCAGTTTCTSCTCTAAGGAGAGGGGAGATAACACTGCATTTACAACTCTGTGTCTGGGAGCAGAATTAGCTGCAACATGTTTTTGTGAAATTTTGTGAAGGAAATGAGTTAATAGATATGCCTCCCCATGTCCCACTGATGCAGCTGGCAACTTTTGCCAGGTCTTCAGGCAAGTATGCAAGAGTCTGTGCTAGTAATTGCAAAAGTCAGACTGGGGACAGGTGTTTAAGTCTCAACCCCTTAATTTTCATGTGCTCCCTCGGTGTGGTTCCCTCCTGTGTAAGGACAGCACATCCAATTTCTCAGGGGCTTCTGAGGAAAGTCTAACCAGGACCCATAGGCAGAGAGGTTCACCATCATATTGGAGTTCAAATGCCTCCTTGGGGCTACCAGGGCAATAGAAATGAGGTGACAAGTCCACACAGATGTTCTTATCCATTGAAAAAGCTCATTCAGCCTTAAGTGGCAAGTAAGCAGCAGTGGTCCCTAGCAGCTGCCAGGAGCTGAAAAGGCACAGAAGAAAAGGCGCAGTTATCCCGGGACTGACCTATGCACACATTTTCATCGTCCAGCTCTGCAGAAGCATTTCTGAAGTAGCCCAGCCTGCATAACTCGCAGTGCTGACCTCTAGTGTTGTGCTTACAGCTCACGCAAATGACCGTATTGAGCAGCTCGATGTAACTGCACCGGTTGGAGTGCCCGAAGCATTCACAGTCTTTCAAGGAAGAACAGAAATGTATACAGAGTGTATACAGCAGCAGAGTCATAGCACATTACATGCTTAGTAAAAATGAACCATGAGCAGAAGTATGAATGAATGGCACACACATGTTAATCAATGTAACATGGACAGCAGCAGATGTTTATCTGCAATGGAAGTGGAGCTGGTTTCAGGCAGGTTAGTGTGACCCGACAACCATGGCATGACGTCGGAGGTTGGCTGTTGTTGGCAGACCTGATGGAACTGAAGCATTTGCAGTTGTAAACCTTTCAGGGTTACTGGAGGCTCAGTTTCCGCTGAGAGAAATGCACATATTTTTGCACATTTGAGATGAGTATAAATCAAGATCCGGGAAAAAGGCTTCCTCGTATTAAAAAAGTYAAATTCAATGGACAAAATTGTCAAACTTCATTATGCTTAAATCCACAACTGTAAGTAAAATAAAAGTGCTTTATTTTATTTTTTTTTTTTCTGACAGAAATGGTGAGTACTCAAAAATACTACTGAACTTGGGGTGCTATAACTGGTAGGCACCTTGAGAACCAAACTTTTATTTCAAGGCCAAACAAATCTCTAGTTTGACAATTTTGGCCGACACCTCCTACAATGATTAACAGCGAAGAAAAGGAAGSAAGACAGTTGTTATTGGACTACATCCACTGTAATTCTGAGGTAAGCATTAATTGATTTTTGTATTCGGAGATGAAAAACAATTGGGCCAGAAAAGATAATGAAAATTCTGAAATGTGTACTGATTAGAAAGCATGCTTACTGCAGCCATCTAAAATGAAGTTGGCATGACATCCTCTTTAGAAAAMCCCTTCATTAAATATAGAATGCTAGTGCCTTTTAGTCTTTAATCACAAGCAATGCTTGGATTTATGCAGAATGAAGGACAAATTAGAAATGTATCAATAACATTAYAGAAGACACAGCTCTGTGTTGTATAGAACACTTGTGTAAGCCTGATCACTCAACTCTTGGGATTATGAGCCCAGAATGAATGCAAGAAAGGTTACTAGGATGAACAGAGAAGTAGAGTCTCTTTAAAAATGAAGACCAGAAAAATTTGGCTTGTTCAGTCTAGGAAAACTGACAGTAGAAGATATCACCAGGCTATAAATACATCAAGGAGTTAAGCCTCCTGCCATCCTAATGGCACAAGAACACATGGGTRTTAACTGGCTACTGAGAAATTTCAGCTGGAAATTGGGAGATGGTATCCACACATTAGGGCAGTGAGGTTCTTGAACACTTTCCATTTGTAGCAAAACACGCTGATGCTTTGCAGATGTAGTTTATTAACTGGTGGAATAAATTACAGTAGATTTCCTGCAATAATGGAGCACTGGGTACAGTGACTTGGAAGGTCTTGAAGTTACTTATCTTGTAATTAGWTAAAGCTATAGCTGAGGGTGTAAAATGCTTCCATACATGACAGAAGCCAACTGCCCTGTGCTGCCTTTCCTCCGGTGTGCTCCTGATTATGCTGGGGCACCTAAAAATCCCCCTGATTGGTGGAGCAGGGCATTGCTTACAATATTTGTGCCTGTCTGTGTTTTTGTAAAGAAACAACAGTCCCCGTACGTGTTTCTGAGTATGGTCTGCAATTCTAATAAATGGATATTTCTTTGGCTTTTGTCTGATGCACTGGACCATAAATAGATTGCACCGTAAATAGATTACATTTTTTTGTAGACACTTAGCACAACATATGTTTCAATCTTGAGAGCTGCCTTTCTGCTGCCAGAAAACATTAATCCGTTTTACATATACACATTTAGTTAACATATATTTCTTGTTCTMTTCAATGTTTTTCTGCTAAACCAGTGTTTTGTGGTTCATGCTAATCTGCTAATTTTGATGCCAGTAACTGCTGGAGAACAGGAAAACATTTGGTGTATCAGTCTCAGTATGTTACCAYTTGACACAATTGAGTAGGGAGGAAAAAAATGTTAATGTTTGTTGTCTTTTGCAGCTGGTCAGTCTGATTCAGCATCTCAGCCAGCCCCCCTGCAGCATTTCTTCCCAAGTATATCCATCTTGCTCCAGTGCAAACTGCCTGTGTGGAGCAGATTGAGAGATCTAAAAGTGGAAGCTAGCACTAGCAAACAGGAGTAATGGAAAATCGTGATTGTGTTTATGTGTTTGATTTAAGAAAGACTGACTAGTGATGAGCAATCTGATCTTCCTGAATCTTGGCTTCATAAGCAAGGCTGTCTTAGTCTCTCTGTCTTATATAGGACCTGTCTGCTACCAACARAGAATTTGTTTTGGTGAGATGATACAGTATTGGTATGTTGGTCAGACTTGTTGCTAAAAGTTTTCATAGTCCAGGTGAATTTAGAGGAAATAATTTGTCTATATACCATAAAGAAAAGCTGACTTTGTTACATCATCTTTTGCATTTAAGGCAGCAGAAGGAAATTGAGAATATTCTGTGAACGGATGACTGCACTGCTTTCACTCTGAAATTGCAATATGACCTTCAATAATATTACAACTACACATCATTAGCCATTAAAAATGCACAAGAAACAAAGCTGCACATTKAGCAATTCACTCTGTAACAAGCCTTKCTCCAAGTTATGATTTGGAGTGAGRAAACATCTCATAATTATGAAGCTTTTGCATGTACACACACACACTCCTAAACTTACGCAGAAGGACTGCCCAAGTTCAGACGTGGGCCATCAGTATCAAAGGTAAACAGTTCTTAAATTTGGTTGCCTTTCTATGGGTATTGCTCTTTTGTAACAACTGTGCTGTGTGAAACAAAGTCTTTGTCTCAAAGTTAACTAATGCTGAGGTACAGGAATGCTCYAGGAGTCTTGATCAGACTAGTAAATGCTACATGGTGTAGAAAAAAAACACAGTTAACTTGAAAACAGTCCACAATCTGATCAAACATTAGCAAAAGGAAAAAAACCCAAAAGAAATGGCAAGTAATGATGAAATCAATTTTGTGATAATGTTTGCTTCCCCCTGCCTCTCCACCACGTTGCTGTTGGCCTGTCTCAGTGAATCATTTTTACATCCCTCTGTGTTCACAAAAGTAAGCKATGTAAAAGTCCTTGTGTGATTGAAATGGAATGAGTTTGTGTACTGGCTACATGAGGTGCTACCCTAAACCACTCCAACCTGACATTGAGCACCATGCTAGCTGGGAAGCTGTCACTGCTGGGTGGCACGTTCAGCTTCTYGTGCTTCACCTGAACCAACGCCTGTAATGTCTGCTTGAGAGAACTGTCAGAAGCACAGCTCAGGCTCTYTAGGCACAGCTCTGGCCAGCAGCCTAAGCACTTTCATGCACTGGCAAAGTCATGCAWTCACTGAAAGAGATGGGGAAAAGTATCAAAATCAGGCTGCAAATGGTTTACCAACCACTGTGGAACGWCACGAGCTTTTTACGGCGTTAGGAAATGCTGCTTTCAGTTCTGAGTACCACATGTCAGAAAAGACACATAAGTTGAATAACATAAGGAGTGAATGGTTCAGAAACTAAAATCTCAGGAGARTAATGATAGCTAGATAGGTTTAATGTGAAGGAAAGAGGGATYGCTATGTTAAGATTGTCAAATCCATTGCAAACTCACAGAAGCATTGACTCCCTGAGCCTTTAAAGACTCTTTTCCAATGCAATGATTTCCTTGCAACAATTTTGATCCTGTTGCAGAAAGCATGATAAAATTACCCCCTGAAGCAGGCTCATGAAGAGGTTGATAATCTAATTGTTTTGTTTCTATAAATTGAACACTTTCCCCCCATTCTAATGCTATGCATTATTGTGGAGACAAGGATTAGCTGAAGCTTCAGCTGCAACCATTAAAACATGAAATGTCGTCACATGAAACAATGGCAAACACACAGAAGGGTAGCATCATTTCTAAACTAAGACAGGTTGCGTGAGACAGCTACGGTGTCACTTTTTAATTAAAAGCACAAAGCACATTTCAAGAGAAGTGCATTCATAAGTAATGAAATTATTTTTTCTTTTTCATTTTCCAGTAACTCTGAGTTCCTCCTCCATACACTAAGGCAAACAAAGGAGATTTCATTGTAACCTTAGAAATCACCTGCTTCATAACAAACAGAATGGCTCATTACATGATCTCATCCAATGGGTCAAACTAAGTTCAAACATTTCTTAATAACCCTTTTCCTTGTTAATGTGTATTCCATGAATAATGAGATATTCACAATAGCTACAGAAAGACAAAACACCTTCATACATACTCTTTACAGATAAATTGATGAGGAAAAACAATGGAAAGATCTCAGGGTTCAGACTGTGAATGACAGATATGCAAATGAAACAGGTTGCCTGTAAGTCAGAGAGAATACTGGTGTCCTTTATTACTCCAKATAATTCCATTATTTTGATAAAACACTGGAACATCAGTTCAAAATGTAATGCCTGCACTCTGAATTGGCACACTTACAATAAAATGAAGACATAAGGCACACTTACAATGTATTAAAAGACATAACAATGCATTACATTCCATGGCATTTACAGATACTTCTTGAGGACATGGACAATTTACGTTTTATGGATTGTTTGCCCTCAACTAATCTGCTTATGTTTCCTCTTTTACAATTTATGCATATCACTGAGGAAAACAAGACTCTAGTAAACATATATTTCCTAGGCAAGGACCTGAATAGCCATAGTCATACATTTAACTCCTTTAAAAATAAATGCCATGTCCCTTTATTTGCCACCAACAACTATCTAAGAAGCATATTTATTTTTCTTTGTATGGCTTATGTTAATGTGACTTAATGCTTCTGTTGTATTCAATGAAGATGCCTCACCGGTAAACTAATGGGTACACTTCACAAATATTCCAGATTCATACAGTGCAATGTTTTCACAACACAGAGCACTATGGGATCATTGTATGAATCCTAGAATTCCTACCTCTCTTGTGGTTTGCAACTTGAACAGAAGAAACAGTTGACATAGCTAATTTGGGAGCAACTGGATAGGT